GGACAATATGCTCCTATTGAGGCAGGCCAAAATCCCATTGCTGGCTCATGTTTAACTTGTTGTCCACGAGGACTCCAAGATCCTTTTCACACGTACTGCTCTCGAGCCAGGTGTCCTCCATTTTGTATCTTTGCATTTCGTTTTTCCTGCCAAAGTGGAGTATCTTGCATTTGTCACTGTTGAACTTCATTTTGTTAGTTTTGGCCCATCTCTCTAATCTGTCAAGATTGTTTTGAATCCTGCTCCTGTCCTCTGGAGTATTGGGTATCCCTCGGGGGGGAAGGGGGGGGGGGGGGGGGGGGGGGGGGGGGAGGGGGGGGGGGGGGGGGGGGGGGGGGGGGGGGGGGGGGGGAGGGGGGGGGGGGGGGGGGGGGGGGAGGGGGGGGGGGGGGGGGGGGAGGGGGTGGGGGGGAGTATTGGCTATCCTTCCCAATTTGGTGTCGTCTGAAAACTTGTAGTAATAATACTAGTAGTAGTAGTGATGATGATGATGATGATGATGATAGACAGAAGGCCTGATTCTTGCAGCCCAGGAGCAAGCCATCAGAACAAATGCAAATAAGGCCAGAATTGAAAAATCAGTGGATGACCCAAAATGCAGACTGTGCAAGGAAACTGATGAAACCATGGACCATATCCTCAGCTGCTGCAAAAAAATCGCATAGACAGACTACAAACAGAGGCACAACTCTGTGGCCCAAATGATTCATTGGTACTTATGTCACAAGTTCCACCTGCCAGTAGTAAAGAACTGGTGGGAATCATCAACCTACAAAGGTAGTAGAAAATGAACACGCAAAAATCCTGTGGGACTTTCAAATCCAAACTGACAAAGTTTTGCAACACAATACACCAGACAAAAAGAAAAAAAGTTTGGATTATTGATGTCACCATACCAGTTGCATTGAGGAAAAACGTCAGGACCCCAAAATCGAACTGCAAAGGCTCTGACATAAACCAGTACAGGTGGTCATTGGCACACTGGGTGCCGTGCCAAAAGATCTCAGCCAGCATTTGGAAACAATAAACATTGACAAGATCACGATCTGTCAACTGCAAAAGGCCACCTTACTTGGATCTCCGTGCATCATTCAAAAATACATCACACAGTCCTAAACGCTTGGGAAGTGTTCAACTTGTGATTTTGTGATACGAAATCCAGAATATAGATCTCGTTTGCTGTGACATACTGTGTTTTTGTGTCAGTAAAATAATAATAATACTAATTTTGAACCTCTGCAAAGAGTTGTGTTGGAGGACCTAGGCAGGCATGGGCAAACTTTGGCCCTCCAGGTGTTTTGGACTTCAACTCCCAGAATTCCCAACATCCTACCAGCTGTTAGGAATTCTGGGAGTTGAAGTCCAAGACACATGGAGGGCTGAAGTTTGCCCATGCCTGACCTAGAGATTCCTGCATAGAGAACAATTCTCCAGACAGTTATTGATCGTCCATGGCAGATTTTCAGCAAGTTGACCGTATGTCTTCCCTTATTCTTTATTCATGTTTTCTCCACTTTTGTGGGGTCCTGAACCATTAATTTCTTGCCTTGCTCTGATGTCTTTATTAGCTGAAATTAGATGGAAATGCAGCTGCTGAACATGCAAGGGTGGCTTCTGCATTCCCAGCTTGCATGTAGCAAAGCCAAGGCTCTTAATAGGAGATTGCAATGGTGAACCCTGGAATATTCTTTGGCTGAGCTGGAGTGTTGGCATGGAATAGACACAAACATTCCAGCTGCTCAGGGAACACATCTGTTGGAAATATTTGCATAGGCAAACTTGGGCCCTTTCTCCAGGTGTTTTGGACCTCAACTCCCACAATTCCTAACAGGCTACTGGAGCAGGCATGGGCAAACTTGGGCCCTTTCTCCAGGTGTTTTGGACTTCAACTCCCACAATTCCTAACAGCCTATTGGAGCAGGCATGGGCAAACTTGGGCCCTTTCTCCAGGTGTTTTGGACTTCAACTCCCACAATTCCTAACAGCCTACCAGAGCAGGCATGGGCAAACTTGGGCCCTTTCTCCACGTGTTTTGGACTTCAACTCCCACAATTCCTAACAGCCTACCGGAACAGGTATGGGTAAACTTGGGCCCTTTCTCTAGGTGTTTTGGACTTCAACTCCCACAACTCCTAACAGCCTACCAGACCAGGCACGGGCAAACTTGGGCCCTTTCTCCAGGTGTTTTGGACTTCAACTCCCACAATTCCTAACAGCCTACCAGACCAGGCATGGGCAAACTTGAGCCCTTTCTCCAGGTGTTTTGGACTTCAACTCCCACAATTCCTAACAGCCTACCGGATCAGGCATGGGCAAACTTGGGCCCTTTCTCCAGGTGGACTTCAACTCCCACAATTCCTAACAGCCTACTGGACCAGGCATGGGCAAACTTGGGCTCTTTCTCCAGGTGTTTTGGACTTCAACTCCCACAATTCCTAACAACCTACCGGAGCAGGCATGGGCAAACTTGGGCCCTTTCTCTAGGTGTTTTCGACTTGAATTCCCACAATCCTTAATAGTTTACCAGAGCAGGCATGGGCAAACTTGGGCCCTTTCTCCAGGTGTTTTGGACTTCAACTCCCACAATTCCTAACAGCCTACCAGAGCAGGCACAGACAAACTTTGGTCCTTTCTCCAGATGTTTTGGACTTCAAGTCCCACAATTCCTAACACAGTACTGGAGCAGGCATGGGCAAACTTTGGCCCTTTCTCCAGGTGTTTTGGACTTCAACTCCCACAACTCCTAACAGCTGGTTAGCCCATGCCTGCTGTAGATGCACCCATAGACAGAAACAAAACATGGCGATCGTGCATACCTACTTTGCTGTATTTCTATCTGCAGTATTTTATTATTTGTGCATCGCTGAATTTTGCTGAAACTGTGTTTCCGCTGGCACAGAAGCATCGCCCTTAACAGGGACACTCAGACCTCTCTGGCAGGGAGCGCATGAACAGCCTGCCATTGCTGTCGCTACAACAATCCTTCCTAAGAGCAGCAGAATCAGCCTTCTCCCCACACATGGTCCTGTACAAACCCCTATGGATAGGAAGCCCAGACAGGGGAGAATGGCCATCTGTCAGGTGTGCTTGGATTGTGCCTTCCTATACAGCAGGAGTCTGGACTACATGGCCTTTGAGGGTCTCTTCCAAGAGATTCATAGAATCGTAGAGTTGGAAGAGACTCTCAAAGGCCATCTAGTCCAACCTCCTGCTGTACAGGAAGGCACAATCCAAGCACACCCGACAGATGGCCATTCCAAGAGATTCATAGAATCATAGAGTTGGAAGAGGCCATCCAAGCCAACCCCATTTAGTCAAGAAAGAGGAAAATCGCATTGAAAGCACCCCCGACAGATGGCCACCGAGCCTCTGTTTAAAATCCTCCAAAGAAGGAGCCTCCACCACACTCCAGGGCGGAGAGTTCCACTACTGAACAGCTTTGGAGGAACTGAAGGAACAACAACCTCATGGGCCATCCAATCCAACCCCATTCTGCCAAGAAGCAGGCAAATCACATTCGATGAACCCCAAACAGATGGCCACCCAGCCTCTCTTTAAAAGCCTCCAAAGAAGGAGCCTCTACCGTACTCTGGGGCAGAGAGTTCCACTGCTGAACAGCTTTGGAGGAACTGAAAGAACAACCACCTCATGGGCCATTCAATCCAATGCCATTCTGCCAAGAAGCAGGAAAATCACATTCAATGAACCCCCAACAGATGGGAATCCAGCCTCTGTTTAAAAGCCTCCAAAGAAGGAGCCTCCACTACACTCCAGGGCAGAGAGTTCCACTGCTGAACAGCTTTGGAGGAACTGAAGGAACAACAATGTCATGGGCCATCCAATCCAACCCTTCTGCCAAGAAAATCACATTCAATGAACCCCAAACAGATGGCCATCCAGACTCTGTATAAAAGCCTCCAAAGAAGGCACCTCCACCACACTCCAGGGCAGAGAGTTCCACTGCTGAACAGCTTTGGAGGAACTGAAGGAACAACCACCTCATGGGCTATCAATCCAACCCCATTCTGCCAAAAAGCAGGAAAATCACATTCAACGAACCCCAAACAGATAGCCATCCAGACTCTGTATAAAAGCCTCCAAAGAAGGTACCTCCACCACACTCCAGGGCAGAGAGTTCCACTGCTGAACAGCTTTGGAGGAACAGCAAGAAGGTAAGAGTTTCCGAACAAAGGATTCCCCCAGTTAGGAAGCCTGAATGTTGCAATTGGCCAGCTTGATCAGCATTGAATGGCCTTGCAGCTTCAAAGCCTGGCTGCTTCCTGTCTAGGAGAAGCCTCCCCCAGGAAAAATTTATCTTCAAGACTGTTTATCAGTAGAACTCTCTGCCCCGTAGTGTGGTGGAGGTTCCTTCTTTGGAGGCTTTTAAACAGAGGCCGGATGGCCATCTGTCAGGAGTGCTTTGAATGCAATTTTCGTGGGGTTTTTTGGCAGGGGGTTGGACTGGATGGCCCACGAGATCTCTTCTAACTCTAGGATTTTATGATTCCATCCTCCCCAAAACACCCAAAAGCAATCCAAGAGACAAAACAGCCCCTGACCTTGATTTTTCATCTCTTGTCTCCCTGTAGCATGAAATCTTGGCTGCCAATGCTGCAGAAAAAGCCTTGGAAAGCAGAAGCAATGCAGCTCCCCACCCACTTGGCTGGGATTCCTGCAGGGGAGAGGGACAGGCACCCCCATTGTCCCCTAAATGCCCCCTATGCTCCATGTAAGTCTATGGAAACCGTGGATACCGAAACCCGCGGATAACAAGGTATGGGCCAACTTGGACCCTCCAGGGGTTTTGGACTGTTAGGAATGGTGGGAGTTGAAGTCCAAAACCCCTGGAGGGCCCAAGTTGGCCCGCGGATACGGAAACCCGCGGATACCGAGACCCAGCGGATACCAATTCCCATGCTTATCCATAGCCGTGGGACCTGGCACCAAAGGGGTTTCCGTATCCGCGGGTCCCCGTATCCGCGGTCCCTCCTCGGACTCACCAGCTGCCTCCTTAAGAGAAGGATGTTCTCCTCCAAGAACTGCTCTTCCAAACTCCGTGGAGAGGAGGCAGGAGCTGCAGCGGCTCCTTCTGCATTCGCGGCCGGCGAGGGCGCCTCCTGAGCGGGCAAGGCGGCGGGCATCCACCGCTGGACGCGCAGCTCCTGCCGCCTCCGGAGGAAAGACAGCTCGGCCAGCCCGGCCAGCGTGGCTTCGAGGCGCTCGCGGGTCCGGAGGCGCTCGGCTGTTTCCGAAGCCTCGCTCCGGCGCCCGTCCGCCTCCGGGGAAGCCTTCATCCCGGCTTCTTGCCAGCCTTCGAGGAAGGACTCTACTCGATCCTTCCTCCTCGGCTGCCACTGAACGACTGATGCAGTTTCTCCGAGGGAAGCCGAGGCTCCTCCCTTGGCTCCGCCCATTCTGGGACTTGGCCTCGCCCACTTCTTCGCCCTCTTGCGTCTACTGGTCGAGGGAAATCAAAGCTCCTCCCTCGGCCACGCCTATTGCTGACATTTCCCCGCCCACTTCTCACTCCTGCATTCACACTAGGCAATGGAAAGCCAAGCCTGCTCCTGCTTTGGCCCCGCCCCTTCTTGGCTTGGCCCCGCCCACTTGTTCTCCCTTCTGCAAAGCCTTCTCCTCCTTTGGCCCCGCCCATTCTTGATTTTCCCCGCCCACTTCTCCCTCCTGCATTCACACTAGGCAATGGAAAGCCAAGCCTCCGCCTCCTTTGTCCCCGCCCATTCTTGACTTGGCCCCGCCCACCTCTCCATCCTGCACTCTCTGGTCTATGCAAAGCCAAGCCTACTCTTCCTTTGGCTCCGCCCACTCTTTGCTTGGCCCCGCCCACCTCTCCATCCTGCACTCTCTGGTCTATGCAAAGCCAAGCCTACTCTTCCTTTGGCTCCGCCCACTCTTTGCTTGGCCCCGCCCACCTCTCCATCCTGCACCCTCTGGTCTATGCAAAGCCAAGCCTACTCTTCCTTTGGCTCCGCCCATTCTGGACTTGGCTCCGCCCACTTCTCAATACTGCACTCTCTGGTCTATGGAAAGCCAAGCCTACTCTTCCTTTGATTCCGCCCATTCTGGACTTGGCCACGCCCACTTCTTCTCCCTCCTGCGTTCACTGATCCTCCTTCTTTGGCCACGCCCATTCTGGATTTTTCCCCGCCCACTTTTTCATCCTCCTTCTTCCACCGGTTTATGGAAAGCCAAGGCTCCACCCTTTGCTCCGCCCATTTTGGACTTGGCCGCACCCACTTCTCTCTCCTGTGTCCACTTGTCTATGGAAAGCCAATCCCTCAGATGAAGACCTACAAGCCACTCTCAACACCTTCGCAGAAGCATACACGAAGCTTGGCCTGTCACTGAACATCGAGAAGAAACCAAAGTGCTGTTCCAGCAGTCACCAGCCAATCCCTCTCCAATGCCAGAGATACAGCTTAATGGTGTAACATTAGAAAATGTGGACAATCACTACCTTGGCAGCCACCTCTCCACAAAAGTCAACATCGACACCAAACTACAACACCGCCTGTGCTCTGCGAGTGCAGCATTTTCCCGAATGAAGCAGAGAGTGTTTGAGGACTGGGATATCCGTAGGGATACCAAGGTGCTTGTCTATAAAGCTATTGTCCTCCCAACCCTGCTATATGCCTGTGAGACGTGGACTGTCTACAGACATCACATGCAACTCCTGGAACGATTCCATCAGCATTGCCTCCGGAAAATCCTGCAAATCTCTTGGGAAGACAAGCGGACAAACGTCAGCGTGCTGGAAGAAGCAAAGACCACCAGCATTGAAGCGATGGTCCTCTGCCATCAACTCCACTGGACCGGCCACGGAATGTTGGTGGACAGGAAAAGAGATTTAAAGATGGGCTCAAAGCCAACCTTAAAAACTCTGGCATAGACACTGAGAACTGGGAAGCCCTGGCCCTTGAGCGCTCCAGCTGGAGGTCAGCTGTGACCAGCAGTGCTGCAGAATTTGAGGAGGCACGAATGGAGGGCGAAAGGAGAAGCGTGCCAAGAGGAAGGCGCATCAAGCCAACCCCGACCGAGACCGCCTTCCACCTGGAAACCAATGCCCTCACTGCAGAAAAAGATTCAGAGCAAGAATAGGGCTCCACAGCCACATACGGACCCACAAGAATATTGGAAGACAATCCTCCTTGGAAAACGAGGGATCGCCTAAGTAAGTAAGTAAGTAAGAAAGACAAGCTTCCTCCTCCTTTGGCTCCGCCCATTCTGGGATTGGCCCCGCCCTCCTGCGGCTGATACTCTCAGAAGGACTTAATGGCTCCTCCCACTGGGAGCTTTCAATGCCTTGGCCACTAGTCATTCTTCCTCTTGCCACAAATGCCCTTTGAAGGCAGGGCTGCCCCAAATTGCAGAAGAGAGGGATCAAAGCCTTCCAAAGCCAAGCCCAAGTCACCCTAACCATGCCAAGGGAGTTTAGTGGTTTGCAGACTAATTGCTGCCTGGGATTGACAGTGAGGTTGCCTTGCCCAGGCCTTTGACAGAGCAAAGCTTGAAAGGGAAAAGGACAACCAAAGGGAAGCCACAACCCACTCCAAAGCAACCACCAAGTTCTTTTGGAGCTCAAGATGAAAAAGGATAGGAACTTACGGCTGCGCCAAGGGCACATCTGCACTGTAGAGTTGATGCAGTTTGAACACCAGTTTTACTGCCATGGCTGGATGCTATGGGATCATGGGAATTGTAGCAAAACTTTTGTAAAACTATGTTGGGCGAGTGGGCTTAATAACAAAAGACCCTCCTCATGAATGTACAGCAGAGTAATTCATTAGCAGCAGAAGCGTGACCCAGCGCCTCTAGTCCAAAGTGGTGGAAGAAAAACATATAGAACAATGTTATATCTTCCATAGGAATCTTTTCTTTGTAGTAAAATAATGTTTGTTGTTTATTTGTTCAGTCGCTTCCGACTCTTCGTGACCTCATGGACCAGCCCAAGCCAGAGCTCCCCGTCAGCCGTGGCCACCCCCAGCTCCTTCAGAGTCAAGCCAGTCACTTCAAGGATACTGAGGTGCGTGCTTATAAAGCCATTGTCCTCCCAACCCTGCTCTATGCCTGCGAGATGTGGACTGTCTACAGATGTCACATGCAACTCCTGGAATGATTCCATCAGTGTTGTGTCTGAAAAATCCTGCAAATCTCTTGGGAAGACAAGCGTGCTGGAAGAAGCTAAGACCACCAGCATTGAAGCGATGGTCCTCCTCCATGAACTCCACTGGACCAACCACGTTGTCCAGATGCCCGACCACCATCTCCCAAAGCTGTTGCTCTACTCCAAACTCAAGAATGGAAAATGTAATGTTGGCGGGCAGGAAAAGAGATTCAAAAATGGGCCAACCTTAAAAACTGTGGCATAGATACTGAGAACTGGGAAGCCCTGGCCCTTGAGCACTCCAGTTGGAGGTCAGCTGTGACCAGCACTGCTGTAGAATTTGAAGAGGCACGAATGGAGGGCGAAAGAGAGAAACGTGCCAAGAGGAAGGCGCATCAAGCCAACCCTGACCGGGACTGCCTTCCACCTGGAAACAAACGCCCTCACTGCAGGAGGAGATACAGATCACAAACAGAGCTCCACAGTCACCTACAGACCCACCGCCAGTACACTGCTATTGGAAGACAATCCTACTCGGTCAACGAGGGATCACCTAAGAAAGACCATCCATCCAGCTTGCCTTTGGTCAGCTCCTCTTCCTTTTTCCTTCCATTCTCTTCTCCAAGCTTTCCTGTCTTCTCATGATGTGGCGACTTTATCTTTGCCTCTAATATCCTTCCCTCCAGTGAGCAATTGGGCTTTATTTCCTGAAGTATGGACTGGTTGGATCTTCTCGCAGTCCAAGGTACTCTCAGCATTTTCCTCCAACACCACAGTTCAAAAGCATCTCTCTTCCTTCACTCAGCCTTCCTTATGGTCCAGCTCTCACATTCATAGGTTACTATCAGGAATACCATTGCTTTAACTATGCAAATCTTTGTTGCCAATGTGATGCCTCTACTAGGCTTGGTTGATTAAAAAAATGTTTCAAAACGTGTTTCGGATGTAGGAACCGCTGGTGGTTCAATTCAGAAAATAATTCTGAACGTTTCAAAAAAAAATTCGGAACTTTCTGAAATTTCCTAATCATTTCGTTAATGGTGGACACGATTGCACAACAGCTCTTCTCCCTGTCCTGGTTCTCTGCTGCCCTGCTCTTCTTCCCCCTCAACAGCAACAACACACAAGCAGCTGCAAGACAGATAGGCAGGCATGCAACAGCCCTGCTACCAGCCCTTCTTCTTGCTTTGCTCATCCAACTGCTCTTCTTCCAACCTCCGTTCCCTTTCTCTTTCCCCTTCCCTTCCCGGACTCACAATGAGCCTCTGAGCCACGTGCTGCCCTTTGTATAGCACAATAGCTACTGTGCCGAAACCCCACCCCTCCCCTCCCCAAAGCTTCTCCCCTCATTGGCTGGGAGGCAAGTATCCCAGCATGCAAGCTGCTTCCCTCCAAGTGCTGAATCACTTCAGACTCACTTCCTGACTCAGAAGAAAAATGGCAAGAGAAGCTTCGGAAGGGCAAAGAAACTTCGGTTTTCTTAAAAACTTCGAAATTGCTTCAAAAAGGTAATTTTTCCAACTTTATTCCGAAGATTCCGACGGTACCTAACCATGCCTAGTCTCTACTCTTCACTGTTTTATTGAGATTGGCTATTGCTCTCCTCTCAAGAAGGAAACATCTTCTGATTTCCTGGCCACAGTCTGCATCTGCAGTCATCTTTGTACCTAGAAATATAAAGTCTGTCACTGCCTCCACATTTTTCCCTCTATTTACCAGTTCTCAATCAGTCCTTTTGCCAGAATCTTGGGGTTTTTTATGTTTAACTGCAATCCAGCTTTTGCCCTTTCTTCGTTCACCTCGGTTAGAAAGTTCCTCAGTTCCTCCTCACTTTCGGCCATCAAAGTGGTATCATCTGCATATCTAAGGTTATTAATGTTTCTTCCAGCAGTTTTAACCCCGGCCTTGCAGTCAAGCCCTGCATGTCGCATGATGTGTTCTGCATACAAGTTGAATAGGTTGGGTGAGAGTAGACAACCCTGCCGTACGCCTTTCCCAATCCTGAACCAGTCTGTTGTTCCATGGTCAGTTCTTCCTGTTGCTACTTGGTCCTTATACACATTCCTTCCTTTAGTTCTTGGGAGAAGAGTAATTACTAAGCTCGATAAAATAGTGAAGACCAGAGCCATCATACTGACAACAAAGATTCACATAGTTAAAGTGATGGTATTCCTCGTAGTAATCTACGGATGTGAAAGCTGGACCATAAGGAAGGTGGAGCAAAGG